GGTCACCTTTCACTTCAAGAACTTGCAATACAGACGTTTAGACCTTACGACGAGTACGAGAACGAGYTTTTAACTTTTAGATTAGCACTATAGGCCGTTTCAATAGTGCCCTTCATAGTYCCCTGTGCCATCTTGAAAGGTAGCCGTGCCTTTGCATCGAAGCGAGAMGAACGGTGAGCTTGCAATGATAGAGACCTTTTTTGAACCTTGAACAACTATTCACTTGTCTCTATCATTACAAGCTCACCGTTCGTCTCGCCTCGATGCAAGGCACGGTTACCTTTCAAGATGTCGCGGTGAACTGTGAAGGGGTCTATTGGAGTCCTCCCCACCTACGGGGGATCCAAATTTACAATTGGCTTTCTTCGACTTTTCTTCTAGATTTGTGACACACTAAGAGGTTCCGAACAATTGACAATTATTCACATGTCTCTACCACCTACGGGGGATCCAAATTTACAATTGGCTTTCTTCGACTTTTCTTCTAGATTTGTGACACACTAAGAGGTACCGAACTGCGGATCTAGAACCGTAAAAGGTAAAACAAGAGTCACCGCCCACGGGGATCCGACTTTATATTTGGCGTTCTTCAACTACAAAATTAATCTCAGCGACCCCTCTCACCAAGACTGCTAGACAAGTTAAAAACCAGTAGCAATATTTCCGAAGAAATTTTGGGTCGCCTGACTATGAAAAGGGGTGTAAAATTGGCCATTTCTAATACTCGTTATTCGATATCAATCTTTTTCATAAATTCATCAATGTTTTCCCATTTTATACATAGTGTCATTTTCAAGAGTGTAATTTCATTTTTAACAACTGAAGCAAATAACCATATTTTCTAGGGAATGACACGTACATGTAGCTAGTCTCTCAACATTTATAGCACCGACGATTAATCTATTATTTCTTATGTACAACGTTTGCAGTTAAGTTCAAGTTTTCCCCAACAAATTCGTGTATGAAACAAAATTGGCCTTAGGTTGTTTGCCTTATACGGTAAGAGTATTCTTATTTCCTTTGGGATCGTTTATTTTTTTTTTTACGCAATTTTCAAAAAAATGTTTAACCCCTTCCCAACCTGAATTTGGCTCCCTATYAAAACAGGATGCTTTAAAAATAATTTTCGTATTTAGCTAATTATTTTCGGGATGCTCCTTCTTAAATGCCATGTTTTTCTACGTGGCCCAGCCTCCTTTTCTCCCAACCCCACTGCACTCCTCACCTACATGCACGTAAAAAAGTAAATGGTCCTTTAATCTAGCACACTTGCGYAAAACAAAAAGATTAACATTTGAAGATTTTGGGTCTAAGATAGTGATGGCTGAGCGTTAATCTTGTATGTGCAGCCTTCAGCCGGTGATGACCCTAGGCCCAAATTGCAATTTTGACGTTGACGTTTGAGAAAGGAAGGAAAACCGATTGGTTGGTTTGGTTGAATGATTGATTTGTAATGATCTCAACTCTAGAAACGGTWAATTAAAAAAAAMAAAACAATAAGAACACATTGTACAGCATTTACATAAATTAAGTACGTTTTACTAAAACTCGTGCAAATCAAACTTACACGGCCTTGAAGACTCAACACCACTTTACACAATAAAACACTGAAAACAATTAAGACACAATAACAGAAATRGCGGGGAGAATAAAACAATYCTAATCAAAACTCCTCAKCCTCAGCCYTTGTTGCTTGCTGATACATTTCTGTCACGKGGTGAKGCGTGACGAAGAGAAACACAGTGCCATGTTGGCTCGATAAGGTCTATGTAATGYTCATCTTCATTCTCGTCTTCTTCAAAATAAACTGGTTTGACAAACACACCTTCTTGAGCGCAGCCATTGTCAAAAACAAACCGTYCCTGGCCTCTTGGTTTGTGGTTTTTAAACGTACCACAAAATGAGAAACGCGGGGTGTGCAGTTCTCCCTTTCCATCAAATCTGTCGTAATCCCAGTTTCCTTGGAAAGAAAAAAAAGATTCACATAATTTTGTAATTTTTTTTCACTGTTTTTCACAATTTCAAAATACCCTTGTTCCAGAGGTTGTCGGGGAAAATAATTTGATGACGTAGTTTTAAACCGCGAATCCGCGAGACTCGAGGGCAAAAGGGAGATTCAAATTAAGACACCGCGTATTGCTATTACCTCTATATGTCAATCCAAGTCCTGCATAAGTGTAWGAACCTTCTCCATGCTTGTGTCCWTCACGCCATTCTCCATCATAACGATCACCATTTGTATAAACGTAAATGCCTTGACCACGCTGCTTGTTGTTCTTCCAATCACCAGTATAAACAGACGTGTCGGGGAAAATCATTCTACCTTTACCATCACGCCTGCCTTCTTTGTAATAACCTTCGTACCTGTTGCAAAAGAAATTATTAAATGAAAAATGATAGAAAAAGCCATGAAAATGAGAAGAGAAGAGAAGAGAAGAGAATCAACTAAAACACCGAATTGTACCTCGCATTACTGTTGAAAACGTATTTTCCCAATCCATGTCTTTTTCCATATTTGTATTGCCCCTCGTAGACATCACCATTCCCAAACATTGCTTTTCCATATCCATGTCTTTCACCCTCTTCATTTCGATCTCCGTCGTACGTTTCGATAATCTCACTTCTATTGTCGTATTCAGCCTCGTCATCGTTTAATGAAAACATGTTTGAAGTTTATTTCTTTCTCGTTTTACCTCAGAGATGTAGAGTTGCGTTTTACCTTTCTTGTAATATTTAAATAAATGAATTCTGGTTTCATTTACTGACTGTGACTCAAGATAATTAAATAAAGATTTTCTAGCGCGCGCTTGTTAACTTGCATATGAATGAATTCGAACGTTCGAATATTTTTGTTTGAGAGACGTGATGGCCGCGCTTTGTAATCGTACGAGCCTTTGTAGCTCAGTGGTTAGAGCACTGGTCTAGTAAACCAGGGGTCGAGAGTTCGAGTCTCTCCAAAGGCTTTTTAACCTTAGTTAATATGAATTTTTTAATTTTTGTAATGAGATACATTTTTATCACTTCTTTGTTTCAAATTTATCCTGCATGCAATATACAACTATCTTTTGTAAACTTATTTGCTTTTCACTCTGTTTCGTATGAATGTAAAGAGTCCGTGTCGTATTGATGGATTGCAAGCATTCCCAAGAAAGTTAAAAAACAAAAGCATGGCTTTTAAGAGGTCGCGAAGACGTAACGCGCAATCGAAGAATTCTTGCGACCGTGAAGTTTTCTAGAATTTTGATGGCGGATTTTTTTTTTTTTT